TTTTATTAATAAAAAAATTTCCATATTGAGCAAAAATCGGGCGTTACTTTTGTTGGCTACTGTACGTGAAAAATTACGTATGTATGTACGTACTTAGAAGGGATTGCCAAGGGATAATGTTTTTTTTTTGATTTTCTGTAACCATAGAAAAAGACAAAGCAAGAAGTTACAACAAAATAAATTTGTTTTATTAATATTTTGGTTGTGTAATACTGAAGTGTTGATGAATGACTTACAAATGGGGTCAAATAAAGGTCATCGGAAAGGAATAATGAATGGTTGATATTGTCTTTAAGAAAAACCATTAAAAACCATGAGAGTGATCTAAATGCGTAATTAGATTTAAATGTATAAATTATAGTATCAATGTATTTATATAACAGTATATTCATTCATGTAGGAATTTGGAACTATCACATGTATCATGCTATATTCTATAAATATAATTAATTTTTGTTACTTTAGTCGAAAAATAATAAACTGATGCAACAATGTAGATGTTTAAAGTTAATTCGAATGAATACTTGGACGATTTTGAACATCACTGCAGCGTGGTGTGAGACGCTAAATTTACCGTTACAATTATACGTAATAAGGTAATGTTTTTCAAGTTCTTGAACACTTGCAAGTTCATTAACGGTACATCAAACATTTGATTATTAATAAATTTCATCAATGAAAGATGTGCATCATGAAGGATGAAATGCCATTGATCGTCCATTCGGTGTCACGATATGCGCTTTTTTACTATACTTGATTATGAGTGGAAATTCTTACCAAATATAGGCAAAAAAAAGGGTGGTCTTTTTTAATTACTGATCGATCTGACTTTTTAATAAATTATATAAAAAAACATTCTTTTTTAGAAAATAAAATCGATTACCCTTTCTTTTTTCCCCGCTTTACCTTTTCATATATGTCATATGGCGAGTGAAAGCCAACGAGAAGAAAATTCCAATAGGCAGAATGATGGTGGTGTTCCAAGAGTTGATTTTAATTTGATGATTAATGATGAACCTGCTAAGAAACCACATCGTAGAATTCCTAATCGTTCTTTTACGCAGCCTGGATATGAAAATGGTAAAGCACCTCTTGATAGTGTTTTTGAATCTATTTCGGAAGGTACTGCCTTGTTAAGCGGTGAACCATCTCAAAACTACAGTCATTTTAATACTCATTCCTCTATATCTGAGGATAATAATCTCAGGTTAGAATATTTATCATATAGCCACTAAATGAAATGTGCCATTTGAAATTCGATGCAAATATTAAACTTATAATAATGATAATAAAAATAATAAAATGTAATCGAATTATATATATATATATTTAAAAAAAAAGAAATTATGCCATCAAAAAAATAAAATTTTTTTTTATCAATTAAATCCTTATTTGTTATATATTTGTACATAATTTAATATAGCGATGTTCATCGCACACGGCCTCATATCAATAAAAGACATACATGGGCTGCAAATGTTAAATTTAATGGCCCAAATCGGCGGTATAAGTCACGTAGTGGTGCTTATGATGAAGATGAAGATAGACATGCAATCGTTCGTGAGGGTGGTGGTATTCGTGTTTGGTATGACGATTATACAACAATTGGTCTGTAAAAAAATTTCTTATGCTATATATGTCTGATCCATCGATTTTATAAATACTTATTCGGTTTTGATACTTAATTTGGTTTGATAGATTGGATTCATGATTATGTCAAAGAACGCGTTCGTATTCGTAAAATTCACTCGGTTAAAGGTGTTCGTGGTTATTTTATGAAATC